TTTGTTTTTATTTGAAGGCCCATGTTAATTGACAAAGAAAAAGCCTTGTACGTATACAACTAAACTAATAAACAAATGTCGGTAGAGTGAATAGTAAAAAGTCAGTTATACACTCAACCCATGTAGTATAGTGTAGAGTGAATATTTTGAAGGTATTTTCATGTCGGCTGAAGAAGAATTCAATCCTGCCCCGAACCCTAACGGCGTCGCCGCAGTCACGCCAAGGCATATCAAGGATTTCTACACGCCACGGTAAGCAGTTTGCTCTCTCTAGGCTATAGAGATTTTTCCCAAATTAATTTCACGGATTATGAAATTCTAATTCAATGTTTTAATTTGAATATCATAGATGTTACCTACCAAGCATTTGTCGGGTGCTCAGAAAAGAAAAAAAAAAAGAAAGCAACTTGATCAGGCCGCATAGTCGCAGAGGGGTGCTCTACATAGGTTTTTTTCAGTTTCAAGTAATGCTGAAGTCGGTCAAGATCAGGGGCATCAACATGTTGCAGACGTCGATGCCAATGACGAGCAGAATTTAGATGCTGAAGCTAATGCCAATGATGATACTCAGGCTGCTCCAGGAGATGATACTCAGGCTCCGGGAGATGATGTTGAAGATCAGGGGCATCAACAAGAAGATGAGATGTCGACTATTTTTTATCCTAGAACATGGGAATGTCTTGACAATAGGAAAAGAGACATCTTAATTGAGAAAGGGCCTGTGCGAGAACTGAATCTACAATTCCCAAAAGATCCTACTGCCAGACATTTTTCTTATGCTTACTATTCCAGAAATTTATATAATGGTGAGATTGTTGACAGAAAGTGGTTGGTTTATTCTAAACATGTGGACAAGGTTTATTGTTTTTGCTGCAAGTTATTTAAATCAAATCAGAACAAGTCTCATTTAGCATCCGATGGAGTCAGGGATTGGAAGCATCTCAGTGAGAAACTGAAAACACATGAGAACAGTGAGGAGTATTTGACATGCATGAGTACATGGAACGAGCTTTGGCTTAGATTAAGCAAAAATAAAACAATTGATGATGAGATGCAACGGGAAATTGCAAAGGAAAAGGAGCGTTGGAGGCAGGTCCTGGTAAGAATAGTCTCTATTGTGAAGTTTCTTGCTAAGCAAAATCTAGCATTTCGAGGAGCAAATGAAAAAATATATCAACGTAACAATGGTAATTTTCTAGCCACGGTTGAAATGATTGCTGAATTTGATCCTGTGATGCAAGGACATATTAGGCGCATTCAAAGTGCAGAAATTCATCATCATTATCTTGGCCATAATATCCAGAATGAGTTAATTCAAGTTCTTGCTGATGCTGTGAAAAATCATATCTTAAAGATTGTCAAAGATGCCAAGTATTTTTCCATTATTTGGATTGTACCCCAGATGTGAGCCATGAAGAACAAATGACACTAATTATATGTTGTGTTAATATGTCAAGAACCATTCCAAGAGTTGAGGAATTTTTCTTGGAGTTCTTACGGGTTGATGACACCTCTGGATTGGGGCTTTTTAATGTTTTATTGGCTGCACTGCGGTCTCTTGGTTTGAACATTGATGATGTGAGAGGCCAAGGTTATGACAATGGTTCGAACATGAAGGGGAAACATCAAGGTGTGCAGACACGTGTGCTTGAAATTAATCCAAGAGCATTATATATGTCGTGTGCATGTCATAGTTTGAATCTCACTCTTTGTGACATGGCAAACTCTTGCACATCAGCTGTTACATTCTTTGGTGTTATACAACGGATATACTGTCTGTTTGCACGCTCTACTAATGATTTGTTAGAAGTTATATGTGTGTGTGTGTGTGTGTGTGTGTGTGTGTGTGTGTGTTGTAGATATAGATATAGATTAGTTATCTAAAAACTGTTCAATAAGATAAAATTAGAAATAATATTTATTTTTATATAAATAATTTTCATGTACTTTTTAATATGAATTTATAATTAGTTAATAACCATTTTCAAAAAATAGTAGCAAAAAAATTGGAAACATTTAATCGACACTTTATTTGAAAACTTTTTAAATATGCATTAATTGCTTGTATATACACGTTTTCAAATTAGATATTATCAGAAAGATTATTTCCTTGAATAATTCATATGATAAAAAAGATTATTTCCGCGAATAAATTAATGATACCCATTATAATAAACTGTAATTTGATTTTTCAAAATTCATGTTGATAATATTTTGGTCAAGATAATCATGCAAATAAATTTTAAGTCTTAAACCATATTATTTTTTTTCACAAATTTTGACTTTCATCCAAAATATTTATAAACAATCGTAACATGTAATTTTCTCCGTCCGACTAATTTGACGAAACCAAGTTGGTTAATTAATATTTGTCAATAATATTTTTTAACTTTTGTTTAATGATATAAAAAACAAATAATTCTTCAAATCAAAATAATTTACCATTTAAGAGATAATAATTAGATATATAAATAATATTACTAATGTCCATATAATAAAATTAAAATATATTAGCTATTCTTTGAAATTTCAGCATGTGATTTATTTGTATATTATTATCAACCAAGATATATTTTCATCACTTTTTTATGATTTTTTTTCCATCATGAATTTATTGTAAAATATATTTTCATTGTTTCATAGTATGTTAAATAGACTATACGCCTTAGGATGAAAATTAAAAAAATCTCTTGATTATATAAAGAATTTAATTTTTAGAAATTGCTAAATCAAAATTTTATTAGTTATTATCAGAAAATCAAATTCTAAAAAACATGTGTATATATTGTAAAACATTTATAAAGAATGTTTTGTTTAAATTTGTTTACGCAAATTTAAATTAGTTACATTAATAATAATATTTACGTACATTAATTATTTTTCATCAGATCAATTAGGAAGAATAAGAATACTTCTATAGCTTTCATAAATAATAATAGCGACATTATATGACAACAAAATTTATAATAAAGTAATAATTGAGTATTATATGTTGAACAGAATAAGTAAAATTATTGTTCTTTCTAATATCAATGAATAAATATATATTCTAAAATTAAGTTTATATTAGCATAAACATGTTAGCGGAATAATATATAAATTAACATGTTAACGCTTCTTACTAAAATAATAACATCATCGATCAAAAGGTGTGAAAAACAAATGATTAATTATTATTTTTTTTTATTTTTGTTTTTGGTGCCTAAACGGACAAGTCCTATATAAATGACTCATTAAATAAATGAGTTCCGTTCATCGCACGATCTATGTGCTAGCAGTGGCGGAGCCACCCTTGGGCTAGAGTGGGTCCAACAAAATACTAAGTTCTTACTTTAAATTTAAAAAAAAAAATTATATATAGCCCCATGTAATTTTTTTTTAACCCCGTTTATTTTGGCTAGATATCTCAAGATTCGGGTCAAATTTGTTCATTTGGCAACAATGGTGGATAAGTGATGATCGTAGTGAGAAGAAATGAGACAATCTTTTATTGTCAAATGACAATTATGCTCTTATTACTTTTTTATCAAATGAGTTTATAATGTGGCTCAACATTCTAATGCTTCTGAATTCTTAATGAGTTGATTTGACAATTACCAAATGTGTTGGATAATTAAGCTTGACGCACACTTATCCTGTGGGCTATTTTGGGGTTGTCTTGCTGCACAATTTGTTAATCATTTTTGTTCGATTTTGTTGAATTTGCCTCCAATAATTAATTTGGCCGTATTTCGTAGACAAAGAAAAAAAAAAAAAACTCTTACAGAGTTGATTGCAAACAAGTTCGACTCTAGTTGTTTGATTGACAAGTTCGACTTGCTATTTGAGTTTGACTTGTTTAAATGTAAAAACGAGTCAAGATTGAGTTTTCACAATTCGGACATACATATAGTCATATATTAATAGATAATTCTGTTCTAGTCATGGCAAAACCGGTTCCAGGTTGAAATCACCAGCCCGAACATATGCACTGGTCGGTTCATTGAGTATTCAGTTCTTGGCCACCTGTTTCATTAAAAGAAATAAATATGATTAAAAATTATTTAAAGAAAAGGTCGAACCTCCAGTTATGGTTCCAGTTCGAAACCGAAACTGCCCGTTCGAAATGTATAAACTATAAAGTATTGAACATGAACCAGACTGATCAAAATCACGGGCCGATTCAAGACCCATGGTCAATGGGCCGGTTTGTGCCGGTTCAGGCTGAACCGGCGGGTCAGTCTGACCCATGACCATGTCTACTCGGTTCCAATAATAGCTACGATAATATGCAGCCCAAATTAAATTTTTTTCGAGCTACACCCATGTGTACTAGTATAGATAGAGATGAGGTATTCTCATTTATTCATTTCTTAAAATAACTATCCATACTTTATTACAGAGTTGTTTAAAACATGAGCGTCTTTGCATTAAAAAAATAAAATAAAGATGAGCGTCTTGGTATAAAATAAGTAAACTAAGCCACGGAGACAGCAATAGGGCTGACCTCATCATGAACGCCGTCGGACCACTTGAGTCGTCCGAAGCCATACTGTCCTTTCTCAATCATCCCCGAAAACAGTGCCGGCTCTACGGAGGGGGGGGGAGGGCAGCCAGGGCACCTGCCGGGGGCCCATGGATGGGGGGGGGAGCAAGATTATATAAGTATGTAGTGTATATATATATATAATCTTGTACAGTATTTGGTATATATAATATATTAAATAAGCCTTTTGTTTTTATTTGAAGGCCCATGTTAATTGACAAAGAAAAAGCCTTGTACGTGTACAACTAAACTAATAAACAAATGTCGGTAGAGTGAATAGTAAAAAGTCAGTTATACCCTCAACCCATGTAGTATAGTGTAGAGTGAATATTTTGAGGGTATTTTCAGGTCGGCTGAAGAAGAATTCAATCCTGCCCCTAACCCTAACGGCGTCGCCGCAGTCACGCCAAGGCATATCAAGGATTTCTACACGCCACGGTAAGAAGTTTGCTCTCTCTAGGCTATAGAGATTTTTCCCAAATTAATTTCACGGATTATAAAATTCTAATTCAATGTTTTAATTTGAATATCATAGATGTTACCTACCAAGCATTTGTCGGGTGCTCAGAAAAGAAAAAAAAAAAGAAAGCAACTTGATCAGGCCGCAGAGTCACAGAGGGGTGCTCTACATAGGTTTCTTTCAGTTTCAAGTAATGCTGAAGTCGGTCAAGATCAGGGGCATCAACATGTTGCAGACGTCGATGCCAATGTCGAGCAGAATTTAGATGCTGAAGCTAATGCCAATGATGATACTCAGGCTGCTCCGGGAGATGATACTCAGGCTCCGGGAGATGATGTTGAAGATCAGGGGCATCAACAAGAAGATGAGATGTCGACTATTTTTGATCCTAGAACATGGGAATGTCTTGACAATAGGAAAAGAGACATCTTAATTGAGAAAGGGCCTGTGCGAGAACTGAATCTACAATTCCCAAAAGATCCTACTGCCAGACATTTTTCTTATGCTTACTATTCCAGAAATTTATCTAATGGTGAGATTGTTGACAGAAAGTGGTTGTTTTATTCTAAACATGTGGACAAGGTTTATTGTTTTTGCTGCAAGTTATTTAAATCAAATCGGAACAAGTCTCATTTAGCATCCGATGGAGTCAGGGATTGGAAGCATCTCAGTGAGAAACTGAAAACACATGAGAACAGTGAGGAGCATTTGACATGCATGAGTACATGGAACGAGCTTCGGCTTAGATTAAGCAAAAATAAAACAATTGATGATGAGATGCAACGGGTAATTGCAAAGGAAAAGGAGCGTTGGAGGCATGTCCTGGTAAGAATAGTCTCTATTGTGAAGTTTCTTGCTAAGCAAAATCTAGCATTTCGAGGAGCAAATGAAAAAATATATCAACGTAACAATGGTAATTTTCTAGCCACGGTTGAAATGATTGCTGAATTTGATCATGTGATGCAAGGACATATTAGGCGCATTCAAAGTACATAAATTCATCATCATTATCTTGGCCATAATATCCAGAATGAGTTAATTCAAGTTCTTGCTGATGCTGTGAAAAATCATATCTTAAAGATTGTCAAAGATGCCAAGTATTTTTCCATTATTTTGGATTGTACCCCAGATGTGAGCCATGAAGAACAAATGACACTAATTATACGTTGTGTTAATATGTCAAGAACAATTCCAAGAGTTGAGGAATTTTTCTTGGAGTTCTTACGGGTTGATGACACCTCTGGATTGGAGCTTTTTAATGTTTTATTGGATGCACTGCGGTCTCTTGGTTTGAACATTGATGATGTGAGAGGCCAAGGTTATGATAATGGTTCGAACATGAAGGGGAAACATCAAGGTGTGCAGACACGTGTGCTTGAAATTAATCCAAGAGCATTATATATGTCGTGTGCATGTCATAGTTTGAATCTCACTCTTTGTGACATGGCAAACTCTTGCACAACAGCTGTTACATTCTTTGGTGTTATACAACGGATATACTGTCTGTTTGCACGCTCTACTAAAAGGTGGAAAATTTTGAAGGATAATGTTGAGAGGTTTACTGTCAAACCCTTGTCTGATACTCGTTGGGAGAGTCGAGTAAAGAGTGTGCAGCCTATCAGGTATCAAACCCCGCAAATAATATCAGCTTTGAACGAACTAGAAAGAGTTGCTAAAGATGAACATGACTCCAAAACAGTAAGTGATGCTCAATCATTGGTAACTGCACTTCATAAATTTGAATTTATAGTTGGCATGGTTATCTGGGATGATATTTTATCTACTATCAACATGGTGAGAAAAAAGTTACAATCTAAGATTGTGTGCTTAGAGGCGACTCTCAAACAAATTAAAGGGGTCATCACATATTTCCAGAAGTATAGAGAAGATGGCTTCGATGCTAGTATTGAGACTGCAAAATCCATTTCATCTAGTATAGGCATAGAGCCAAAATTTCCTACAAAACGTCAAGCTAAAAGAAAGAAGCATTTTGATGAAGAAGATGATGAAAGTGAAGAATTACAATGTTCAACTATTGAAACCTTTAAACATGAGTATTTCCTAGTTGTTGTGGATACTGCAATTGCTTCATTGACTAGTCGATTTGAGAAGCTAAAGGAATTTGAGGAAATATTTGGTTTCTTATTCAACTCAGAAAATCTGAAATCCTTGGATGATAATGATCTACGAAAGTGTTGCGCTACTTTTGTAAAGAAATTTTCTCATGACAATAAGTCTGATGTAGAGTTGGAAGATTTTTTCTCTGAACTAAAAGTGCTATGAAGTTCTTTGCCAGAAGAATTGATGTCAGCAGTTGAGATTCTTCAGTTTGTTAAAGCTGCAGAATGCTATCCAAATGTCTCTATTGCATATCGAATTTTGTTAACCATTCCAGTGACAGTAGCATCAGCCGAAAGAAGTTTCTCTAAATTGAAACTTTTGAAAAATTATTTGAGGTCCACTATGTCACAAGAAAGGTACGTTGAATGGTTTAGCTATGTGCGTCATTGAGAAGGATATTTTAGACGACATTAATCTTGATGCTGTTATTGAAGATTTTGCATCAAGAAATGCCCATAGACGGTTTTTATCAATGAACTAAACCACTACATCTTATTTTAGGTAATTATAATAGTTGCTATGTTTTAGTTTTTTATTGCAACATTATTATGTTTCATGGTCTAAACATGTATCGCAAAGAATTTTTATTTGAATACTACATATATATACATATATATATATATATATATATATATATATATATATGTATATATATATATATGAATATTACTTCAATGGGCCCATATTTCTTGTTTGCCCATAGGCCCTTCAAATTACAGAGTCGGCGCTGCCCGAAAATGCACTACTATTCATCTTCACAGTGACAGTGAAATTTTTCTTCTCACCAGGACGACCGAAGTGAAGTAGAGGCGGCGTTGTTTTCACAGTGATCCACGGTGGAGATTGCACGCTTGAAAAATAAGTGGCCCCTCGGCAGCCGACGTTGGTGACGGTCCTAAGGTTTCGGTATCGCGATGGACGGGTAGTTAAGATTGCCTGGAGATGATGGGTTTTTCGGACATTTAAAGGAACCGGTGAGATTATTAACTCCAATGCTGCAGAGGAAGATGAGATAGTCCGTGTATGAAGCGTCGTAGACGAGTCCCGGGTCGACTGCCTTTGTCGGGTTGAAATAACCCGACCCGAGCACAAACGGGGTGGCTGGGACACCGGTGTGATCAGTGATGGGGTTACCCTCGTTGTTTATGAGTGTCGCTGCAAGGGAAGTTTTTTTTTTTTTTAATGAAGACACGTGTTCGTGCTCATGATGATGGCGCAATTAAACAAAATAATTAGAAACATGTGAGTAGAGCGGGTTCGATTTTGTGTACCAGATGTCATGAGAGCAGATTGTAGGGCAGAGGGGCTCCAATGAGGATGCACAGCCTTGAGAAGAGCCAAGGCACCGGCCACGTGTGGGCACGCCATTGACGTGCCCGACATCATCCAATATTTATCTAGGATATCAACAGGGTCAGGAACCAACGGAGATCCTTCTTTATAAGCTGCTAATATACGGAGAACCGGAGCCGTACTGATATCTGGCTACACCATCACCAACAAAGAGTATATATATATATATAACCAAGACTTCAACACAATTAATTCAGTAATCTGGCGGTTAGACGGGATTACCTTGAGAACGTCTGGAGATATTGTGCTGGGGCCTTTGCCGGTAAAAGGACACGTTATAGGTGCTGGTTTGACGCCTAAAATCGTCTTAGCTGGCACGATATATGCCTGTGGACTTTTTGCAATTTGAATGTATTCCAAGATTGTGAGGCCATCGGTGTAGCTTACGGTTGTGGCTGGAAGGAGATGTTCATCGGCAGTTATAGTTAAGGTGTTTCCTTCGGCTTTCTTACTTGTGAGGATGAGACCATAACCGCTGGCTTTTAATACCTCCTCCCCTTTCATCCAATTAATTCCATCGCTTTCTGCAAAACACAGTATGATTTTTCCCTTGGCCTTCTTGGGAGATAGAGAGCCTTTTGGGCATTCCCTATACCATAATTTTTCATACCCAAAACACACTTTAGTTAAGGTACATTTTTTTGGATTAATATTTGTACCTATACTTAGTTTTGGAGATCTATGGGGCAAAGAAGTAGTAAGCCAAAACTGCTTAAGTTGCACTTGTTTAAATAAGAAATACTAATGCATAATTTCAACAAAAATTGCTTGAATAAGAGTTAATACTTCACCTCGTTAAGTTTTTGGCTACGCCAGAGTTGATCACTTGATCTGCAGAAACTAATGTATAGTAATGTTTTCTTTTCAACTTATGCGGAGTTATTGTCTGACCCTGTTAGCAAAAAGAATAATGTTGGATTCTCCAATAAAAATAGTTTTTTGAAATATATATAATTTTAAATCCAACGTTAAAAAAATTTCTAGTCAATTATGGTTCAGCTAATAAGTAATATTCAACGGACGAAATTTCTGGTTACCGGGATTGTAAGGTTGTTCCCGAGCGAAACTGGCGCGTAGAACATCCTGTCCACGCTGGTGGCGCCGACCGTGACCATCCATGGGGCCTCGTTATGCACAGGGCTATCATTCCCCGCACTGCAGGCCACGACAATGCCATATCGGGCCGCGTGGAATGCCCCGACCGTTATGTTGCTCGAGGCGTAAGGGTTTGGATCATAGCTGTTAATTGAGACGCTAATGATGTGGACTCCATTGGCTATGGCGTCGTCGAAGGCGGCCAGAATGTCAGCTTCCGATACGGTCCATATGGACCACCAGTCCACCTTGTAAATGGCGAGGCGTGCTAGCGGGGCGCCACCGGTGGAGTTGCCTGGGCAAAAGCCGGTGCTTGACGAGACGTTGTTGACCCGTCGCCCGGCAGTCGTGGATGCTATGTGGGTCCCGTGCCCGTGTGAGTCACGGGGAGAAAGGAAGTCTATTGTTCGGTTCACCGGACCAGCCTCGACTTCGGCGCCCTTGTAGTAGTACCGTGTGCCGATTATCTTCCTGCACGCGAGATTGCAAATTATGAATATTCATGTAATATAGGTTGTACTTTATCAAGAAAAAAAAATATGTATATATATGTATGTATAAATTCTAAAACACATATAGTATAATTTTATACAAAACTACCTATTACAGTTTGATGACTTGAACGCATCACCAGACTGACAAATTCCTTTCCACGTATGTGGTATTAGTTCCATCCCGTCATCATTGAAGCTCTTCGACTCGGGCCACGCACCTGATCATTTAAGCGCCAATTTTGTATGAACATATTCTTCAATTAAACCTCAATTTCATGACACTTGTATCAATGTTAGTAAGAATTTGCAAGATCAAAGTCAAACAAAATATATACACAATGAGATATATGTATATAATAATGTGGACTCATCATAATCTTTCAGTTTGATCGAGTGCTTGTTTGGGAGCACTTTTAGAAAAAAAAAAAAATATAATGTCTCTTGCAATATGACTTGTGAGTTGTCCCATGTTGATTTGATAGGTATATGAGCCTAGTTTATAAGCCTAATGGGTCACTCCTCCCATCATCAATTGGTTTTGGCATGGAACTTCACTATGGTGCACCTAAGCTCACATTTTTATGGTGCGCTTCACCTATGTGGGATCACACCCCTAATCCCCGATTATCAGAAACTTGACAATTTCTTAAATAGACTTATGCAAAATGAACTTTTTCAAAAGTTTTCATCCTCATATGAGTAATAAGTTGTTTTCATCCCCATGTTTAGGAACTTATTTTTAGTTATGTGATTTTGACGGCTAGGTAGTAAATGAAACTGCGAACAATTTTCCTTTCAGAACGACCCGAGTTTGGTAGCTCGATTACCATCTATCCACAAATTACTACAAACAACTTGTTATCTCATTTATTGCTCTAGTTTTGCTTATTTAGCTTTAAGAGGTGAAACTATTTTCTGGTTCGTCAAAAACGTGTCGAGTTCGGTTCTAGGTCAAAAATGCTAACTTTTGTTTTTATCTTGGTTATTGAGTGTGATTAGTTAATTAAAATTTGAATCTTTTGAGAGAAAATCGAAGCTTTGGTCAAAGGTTGTTATTTCGAGAGAAAATCGAAGCTTTAGTCTCTCTCTTATTTTGAGTCTTTTTCTTGGGTTTGAGCACTCGAGTTCAAGTAAAGTCTAGAGCTTTCTTCCAATTCCTCATCTTTCATTGCTTAGTTTAAATTTAGTTCAAAATTAACTTTATCTTCTTGCTAGAATCACTACAAGAAATATAAGTTTTGCCAACGGAATAATCCGTTGGTAATCAAATCTCCTAGAATTTTCATATTGCTATATGACTTGTTACCAATTTTTGCCGACAGAGAATACAAGATCCGTTGGGAATTTTCTCAACGGATTACCAACAAATTCACAACGGTAATGCTTCGTGAGATTGTCAAGAAATTCTCAACAGAAAATGTAGTTGCTGAATATTCAACTGACAAATTACTAACAGAACGCCAACATATTAGTTACGAATATACCATGGACATTATCGCAACAGAATATTATAGCTAATGCACGCTTAGACAATTGGGACACAAATATCGACACAATCTTTTCATTTTAGAGAACGGTTGCTGTTGACTTATCATGGAGTTCTGTTCTGCTTTTCCAATAATGACGATGAAATCCTAAAGCACACTCTTTGAATGTGCGTTGAGTAATATGTGTGCCTGACCTCACAATCTGGAAAGTGAGCTAATCATGTGAATTACAGATGTCTCATGTGATTTAATATCTGAATTTAATGTATATATATTAAAAAAATTAATTAAAACTTATAAATTATATTATAAATAACGTATTTAACAACTAAGTAATATATCAAAACTAAGTATTCAATGGTATTAAAATAGAAGAACTATATATTAGTTTCAGGATGTGTTTGTAGCTCTTCCACTTCATGCCTTGAGAAATCAGTAAAAGTGTTGTTGGAATTACAAACTGAAATATCAAATTCTACTACTACTAATAATAATAATAATGAAATGATATTTAATAACACAAACATGTATTTTGTATTAAAATTGTGACGGGTCGACTCATCTAACGATTTGATCGGCTCGTAGAAGAACTTGTGGTTAATTAATTGGTGCTATTATTCAGGCCAAACGCGAGCCGAATAGCTCATGTTCTAACTCATGCTCGTTAAATAAAAAAGGCAGCTTAGTACATTTAATCAGAGATTCAAAGACTCGGCTAGTTTAAGTTCTACTTGGCTAGAGAACATAAAATGTCGAATAAATTTGACGACTCGGCTATTTCATGTAAAAAGGGTAAAAATAAAAGTAACTAAAAATTGAGTTGTTAGCGAACAAATTCGGCTCAATTTTCAACAAATGAACTCAGATGTTCGAGCCTTCGAGGACAACGAGCCGAGCTAGCACATGGGTCGAAACGAAGCTGCTGTTGCGAACCATAGCATAAGCAGAAATGTTATCATTGTGCATTGGTATAAACTCTGTACGCTTATTTGTATGAAAATTCTGATATATACTATATGATTTTGAACACAATTAATTCCTAACCACATGAAACTTCTCATAATTATATAATTAATTCACAGCTTAATTAGCAAATTTAAAAATTAAAAATTAAAAATCCTCACAACGCGTTATTAAAAATAATCCCATAATTTATTCCACTATAGTCCGCATCTCAAATCTATACCTTTTTAAGAATATAAAATAAAATGTTAAAAATATGATATTTATATCTACAAAATATACCTACGAACCACCATCACGTCAAGTCCAAATCAGTCACCCTATGTGGACCCATATACCCTCACTTGGAATATTCTTGTGGACCACAAACACCATATAATAACCCGACGGTGCAATGTTGCCCGACCCGGGCGCGGCAACCCGGACCTGATATGTAGACTTCGCCACCGCCTTCATATCCAACCGTGTCAGCACCAATAGCCTCTGGTTCATCGAAAACGAGTGGGTCGCAAACGCCGGTGCAATCATCGTGACCCTAACCGAATCCCAATCCAACCGACCCGGTGGGATCGTGAACCGGACCGGAACCAACTGCTCGTAACCTATCCTGGACTGGGACGCGGGTGATATAATCCTCGGCCGCAAGTATCCGTTGCCCGGATCCAAATACGAAGGCGAAAACGACTCCAAGCTCAAATCCGTCGGGTACAGAACCCCCGTGAAATTGTAATAAATATGCGGGTTGCTCCCGCCCACGAGCACCCGCCCGTCCGTGAGCAGAATCGCGGACGAGTGGTACATTCTCGGTATCGTGGTCGGGTTCTGCACCTCGAACCTCGACCCGACCCGTCTGTCGGGATAATAAATGAGAGGCGAGAGCACCGGGTCCCGCCCGTTCTCCCAACCCGCCGTGCCCGATCCTGCTCCATTCACGATCAACACATTCCCGTCGGGCAGGAGCACCATATCGCTCATGACGCGACCCATCGGCATCCGCTCCATGGCCCATTGCGGGTTCGGGTCGTTGAGTCGGATCCTCCCGCATGTGTCGAGTGCGGGATCGAACTTTCCCCTACGGACACGTTCGAAGGAGCCCCTCGGTGCTCCTCCGCAGAGGAGCACCTCGGGTTGGGTGGAGAGCGGGAGGAGGACGGCGGAGCCGGAGCTCGGGTAGTTGCGCGGGTCGCCACCCGGGATGGTGGGGTAGGTTCGGACGAGTTTATCGTTCGTGTAGTCGAAGAGTATGGCTCGGTTGTTGGCAAATATGAAGAGGTTGCCGTCGGTGTTGAGTAGGACGAAGGGGTAGAGATTGTTTTCTGCAGAGGGGTCGTTGGTCTCGACGAGGAATGGGAGGTTGTAGGAGGAGGAGGCGGTGACGGAGGGGGATTTGGGGTAGAACTCGTAGTTGAACTGGCGGCGGCCGCCGACGATGATCTGGCGGCCGTCAGGGAGGATGTGGGAGGTGGCGTACCAACGACGGTGGGAGAGGGCGGAGCCGACCTCCCGCCAGTCGCATGAGGTGTCGGAGCACGGGCGGAAGAGGCGGACGACGCGGTCGCCGTCGTTGAATCCGCCGGCCTGGGCGAGGGTGCCGTCGGGGGAGACGGCACCGGACGAGCACCAGACATCGGTGAGGACCATGAGGGGGCGGACGGCGGAGGCGGAGGGGTCGGTGGCGGTGGGCGAGGAAGGGTCGTACTCTACCGAGTGGGCGGTGCAGTCGACGGGAGCGACTTTCTCGTGGGGGTCGTGGCGGCAGCGGCCGCCGCCGAGGGAGATGTTGGAGAGGCCGAAGTCGGTGCGGTCGAAGATGACGACGCGGTCGTTGTGGAGGAGTTGCATGTGCATGGCCGAGATGCCGATGCTCGATTGGAGGAAGGACCAACGGCCGGCGGCAGCGGCCACGATGGCGGGGAGAAGGAGGAGGAGAAGGAAGGGAAGGATGTGTGGCGAGGGCATGTTTGGAAGGTGACTGCTGATGAGTCTTTTTTTGGTCCGAGTTGAGTGGTGTGGAGGCGTTACTTGTATATATATATATAGTTTGAGTAGTTTTGAGTTTTTTTTGCATGAGGGCGTGAAATGTGGGAGAGTCCCAGACGAAAGCAAGACGCGTGATGATAATAACTAATTAATTTTGGTGTTTTTATTTTTTTCTAAATTTTAGGTTGAGCCAAACATGCCCTTTGTATTTTTCGTAGAATTGTGTGGAGAAAAAATCTCTACATAGTCGCATCAATGAGTGAAGACACTACAAGAAAAAGAAGAAAAATTTGTAACAGAACTTAGTATTTACGTACATTACATGTAGACACACAATTAATGATGTAAGAAATATGGCAGTCAAGTGTGGTCCGACCTGTGCTTAATGATTTCATCAGGGCGTTACTATTTACCGCCCCCCTTATTACTAGTCACCGCCCCCCTTGGACGATT